ACACATATCGGAGGTGAAATGGATACATTTATGTATTTATCATCGACTGAACCAGTTGTTGATCAGCTATCAACTGTTCTACTACGTACTCGTTTGATCGAAGCATTACATTATTCTAATTTTACTGTGAAAGTTTTGTTTGAAAATATTCCTGTACTTGATCCTCATTTTCCACCAAATTGTACAACGGAAGAAAGTATTGATCAACCAGCTCATAAAGTTCCACGATATTATCAACAATTGTTTGGTTTAAGTAACTGTTTTTCTCTTGTACGTGATTATGAAAAAAAACATAATATAAAATATGATATAATGGTTCGAACACGGGCTGATATTGAATTTCTCAAAATTCCATCAACATTTGATCGAGAATCACCATACGATATAAATACGACGTTATTCTTACCACCAAATCGTTTTGCCTCGAAAGTGGATGATGGTTTTGCTGTCGGTCCGATGGATGCAGTTGAAGTATATATGAACCGCTATCATTCATTTCGTGAATGTATAACTCGTGATTTACATCCTGAACGTTATTTATATTTTTATCTAAAGTATCGAAAAGTAAAAATGATTATTGATCAAAATACAGTGGTTGGTCATATTCCTCATGATCCGAAACGATGCCATTAGGTATAGAGATTAATGAAAATCTTTGATTCTAATATGGTGTTTAAGATATTTGAATGAAAATTTTGTATTAATCGATTATTGTCTTGCTTTGGGTTGAATTATCTGTTGAAAGCAGATTTGCCGATTATATAATTTCAAGAACTAGATAAAGATGTGTCAATGTTTTGCTCAGTATTCATTGTGCTTCTGTTTGTTATTTTATATGCACTTGTTCGAGAAATAAAGCTTGAATAGCCTAACTTTGACAGATATTTTTCTATTTAGTAGAATATTGAGATATCGTTAGTATAATCTCTGCAATTCTAGTGGGAGAACGTGTAAGAAACATTGGTTTAGTTTTGTGTGTAATGGTTTTGACTACATTTGTTCGAATTAGATGAATTGACTTCAAGGATACGAAGTAGTATTTTAGTATACAGGGTAGTAAAAAAGTTCTGTTACTTTCAAATATTTATATATAGAAAAAACATTTTGCTAATCGTTTTACAGTAAATGTTCGAAATAGTTTCCGTGATGCTTAATACAAAGCTTCATCCTTTCACATCATTTCTAAAAGGTCTTTGGGTATTCATGAATAGGTAGTGAATTGAGCTCCTTGGATAAGATTTTGGCTAAACTTGTTCCATCTGAGCATGTAGCAGGGTCACGTTTCAGATAATTGGACAACCAAAAATCCAAAGGTGCAAGATTAGGTGAATATGGTGGATAAGCCATAACTTTGATTTTTTCTGCTTGAACATAATAAAATGGAGAACAATATTTGCTAGACGTACTACTCCATTTTTTAATGCAAATTTATGCTATTTTCTGTTGATAATGGTTTTCTCTTATGTAAATTTTTTACTAATATCTTCGAGTATCCACCGCAATAAGTGATGTAATAACTGTATCTAAGATGGCAGCAACATAATCAATAATAATATGTGGATCATCATTCACCAGATCTTCAGCTACATCAATGTTTTTGTTGAATGATGGCGGATAACGGACGACCACTCCGAAGATCATCTTCCAAGGGTTCTCGCTCATTTAAAAATCGTTAAATCCACCGCTAACTGCACTATATGAAATTAAATCTTGCCCATAAGCAGCAGTTAATTCATTATGAACTTGTGTAGCAATTTAACCTTATAACCAACGAGTTTTGATATATAACCGTAAACACAGTTTATCCATATGTAAATAGAGGTGTTCAATAAATTCGTTAAAAATTTGCCATGACAGACATTTATGAAACTTTGTATTGATATTTTAATACATAACAGATGCCATCACTAGAACACGTCAATATGAGGAATCAAATTAATTAGGACGAATTTTTATAGAGCTGCTGCCAAAAATTTTTGACTATCTTATGTAGGTCTACTACTGCATATAATATGATTGATACAAATGAAACAGAAATATTTCTATTCATATATGGTTTTGATTGTTTATTTCAGATATTGAAAACGATTATAGAGACAATAATCCGATACTTTATATTAGAAATGATAATGCAACAGACCTATAAAGTATTAGAAACTATTAGAAATATATTTTATTATTTAATGACTATTCGTACATTATGTATTCGTCTTTCTCTACAAAATCAATCTCCAAATATTAGACGTCAACAAATCAACACAATATTTTCGATCAACTCTAGTAATGAAAACTGGTTAAAGTTCATTTTATAAGTTCAGATTTATACCTTTAGAATCACATAATGAGATCTATCAAATATTCACATGCTCATCGAAACGTTATTCCATTCTTGCATGATTTGTTCAAGTATATTGCATTTCTAGATTCTATTAACATTAATAAAATATGGTATTTTCAAATTTAATTGAATTGTTGAGTGGCAATTTCTATTATACTGTAAAAGTAAATTGATATTCCATTGTATTTAATCATGATGTGTTAAAAATAAAACACTAAAAGCATATTTTCTCATGGACACAATGACATTTTACTCGTTTACTTTACCAGAGAGTCATCTCTTAAACACGTAAACTAAACAGAATCGAAAAAAAAGATTTTTTCAACCATTGCTCAATAATGTACTGTTTTCATTCTTTATAATAAACACACAAGATCATGCCTTTCTCTTTTCAACCACTAATTTTTGAATACTTTCACATTTGTTAGATGTCGTTTATGTGATCATTCATGGTTACTATGGCACATTGTAAATAGGTAATTTTGTGAAGAAACTATTCGATTAATCGGAACTAATCATAGATATTCAATCTAAACTATATGAAAACATGATTCTTCAATTCAATTTCTGATTCTTGTATTGTATTCAGTATTTAACTTTGACTTTCAATAAGGATTCGAATCATAATGATTTCATACATTTTTCTACTGATTCATTGACTAAATATATGCACCGTTTTGTGTAGAGAGATTGAAATAAAACAACTTATTTCGTAGTACGAATAAATAATAAAAATCCTGTCAAGCTTTTTACTTCCTCGAAAGAAAAAAAAACTTGAATACATTAAATTTCTTTTCACATGTGTCACTCAAAATCAAATATTATTTTTTCTTTTTAAAAGATTTCAATTTTATTTGTAAGAATGTAGTAAATAAAATCTACTGAATAACGAAAGTTTTTAGTTTTTTTAGCAATAATGCTTAAAAATCCAATGTAGTAATTAATAAAAAGAAAACAAAGGTGACGAAATGATTTTCATTCAATCTCTTTATCCACTAATATTAAACAAGATCAATAATATCAGCGACTATTTATTTTCTTAGTCACAGCCGATATTCCATCTTTACAATAACCTGCCATCAGACAACGATCTCAAGTACTTTCCTTCCTTCAACTTGCAACTCAACCGACTCAGCTAGAACTCCTTCTATACAAGAACTGTCAATTGTATTCGATAATCATTTCACATATATCTCAAATTAACTATCGATCACACTTATAGTTACCAATTATGTTATCGTTTGAATAATGTATATTTCAAGACATTTCGCTTGGCACTAATCATCTTTAATTTTACAAACACCAACCCTCTATATTTCAAATGAACTATTTTAACTCAAAATATTTATTTACGCATACACTCTTTCTTGAATCGTATACTCCAAGGATCAATACTACTACTATAAAACGTGTTATTCTCATTTTTCTATCCATTCTCTTCGCTACCTTCTGCTATCAAGTCTCTTTCAATCAACATATCCTTAAACAAGTTAATCGCCTATACTTATATGCAACTCAGCAACCATCACATTGGCTCATCCTCACTTCCATTACACAATTACACCAATACCTCATCTCACCTCAACAACACATTTCCATCATCTGCATCACCAATCAAACATTATCTATCCCACCCAAAAACAAAATCAACATCATCTTTCTCGATTCACAACTGCAATCAAAACTATCTTTTCAATCAACAAATAT